GTGTTCTGTCGCGTGCGATGGCACTTCCACATACTAGTCAAAATAATTTCACTTCCGTAGCAAACCACGTGATCTTTTCTCGAAGACAAACCATACCTATGACTAACCATCTTTTGGAAGACTTTTTCAGAGAGGCTTTCTGCAGAGTTATTAAAAGCAGCGTCCGGGCAAACTTGGACACATAGGGATCGCAAGTGGACTGTTACTGGGAGCCTACTAATAAACAGCCCAAATGGCAGCGCATAAGTGCGTTCGCGGCTGAGATATCCGTTCTCCGAACCAGAACGCTACCGTATTTGACCTACGACTTGCATCCGATAGCTGCTAGTGCAGTCCCACAGAAACGCGTTCATACCACCGCAGATCGCCTTTTGAAAACGGTACCGGGGACAGGGCCCGGTCGCTGCGAAGCTTATTGTTTCGTGGATCTTACCATATTCTGGTTTTATCTTTCCAGTTTCTCTGAGGAACTTCTTCGCTCTAACATCATAATCAGAAATGCGTTCGTCGATATAGGCAAAGTAGGCTAACGCCTTTCTTGTCATCTGTAAGCAAACTGCTATGATATCACATGTAATAAAGTTGTTGAAATAGTGGCACTTCCACTGCAAGCTGTTGCAACACCATACTGTACATACCTCTTCCTGTGTAGGGTACGGCGAACGCCACACCTTTCTGACCGAATCACACCACATCGTTCCACATTGACAGCTGAAACCAGCTCGAGACAGATATTGGTTTCCGTAGTCAAAAAACAGCTGAAATTGAGTTCATGTAAGATGTACAACAGGGCTACAAGAAATTACTTCTGATCCTCCCAAAATGGGTTGGGAAGCGAACAAAACTGCTCGAGAACGGCTAAGTCGCAGATCGTTTTCGGCATATCTGAAAATTCAGAGAGCAATTTCAGACTGCTCTATAGCACGACTTCACTCGCCTTAACATGATGAGATTGGGAAAACATCCATGCGATATAAAACGCGCAATGTTTCCTTTCCTTTTCGGGTCAATGAAGGCGACATTATTCCATGCGCTAAAGGCTTCACACTGTAAAATCATATGCAATTAACTTGAGAATAATGCCTAACGCAAAAATGAGTTGAGACACGACATGCTGTTCACTCATATCTCCTTTCTCCCAATCAGACAGTTCGAACACATCTCGCTAAGCTCAGCTATTTGTATCCTACTTCCCCTCCCCCCAGCCCAGTCCCGATCAGGGCCCGGCAAAAGTCGGTTTCAGGATTTTTGAAAACGAAGTCCTCCCTAACTTACGAAAGTTTTACGAAGTCTTCTTATACCCTTATCGGGCATAGATTAGGAGAAGATGAAAAGTTACTAGTCTGAAAGGAAAAACGTGAAATAAAAATGAAGATTCAAAGTGGAGCTGAATACTAACTAAGTATGCACAATTTGGCGTTGGAGAGCGATATCTAAAAAGCGATTTCTGAGAAAATCAAGGCAAAGGAAAGCAACCATATGAAAATGTCTTTATGATCAGAGATAAATTTTTAATCGGGCATCCGTCCATGCTAAAATAATCCGAAGTATGTGAAATGGCGGACGTATATGCTCCAGACGATCTCAGATCGTTTTGTCCGTCTGGAGACAATCTAATTTCGGAAAAGGTATTACTTCACGTAAGTTTTTAAACCTTCTCAAATAATTTTTCCGCAAATAATTTTCTATGTATACCGTTCAATTTTGGTGTCATATGATTCTATATGCGCTGTAACCAAGCAATTTGTTTATTTCAACCTTACTTTTATATCGCGCGCACTTTTTGCTATACACGATAAAGCATGTCAATCGTGTGATGACCTGTCCGAAAAGCTTGTG